CTTAATTCCTTAATTTTTTCATCTATTTCATCTCTTATTTTTTCCAGTTTTTCAATTTCATTGTATTCATCATCATCTTTAATCCGTTCTTCATAATATTCAGGGAAAACATCAGGTTCTTTAGGTTTTTCTTCTCAGATGTGGGATATAAGAAATTTATAACATCATCTTTATTCATTTTTCCATCATAATCTAAATCATTTAATAAACTCGGCAAATTTTTGACAATTTCTTAAATAATATTTACTAACTTCATAACACATCTCATCTAATATATCCTTTATTTCCTCATTTGTGAATCCTAATTTTTTAACGTCGTTAGTCTTGACGCTCATTTCATACAAAATAAAAATAAATTATTCAAAAATGTAAGACATGAATTTTTAAAGTTTATTTTTTAAATTTTTTATTTTTTACTTCATTATGTAAAGGGTTTGTGAAAATTTCTTACGATTCTGAAAATTTTTAAATCATGATTTATTTCAAAACGTAAGAATAAAAAGCGTCAGAATCATACATTTATTTTATTGATTGTATGAAAATTACTTACAAAATCGGTCAATATTGTGTGAATTCTTACGTTTACAAAAAAAGTCACACAACCCATCATATTCTACTACTAGTGAATTCTGTTTTATATAATGTTTGATCTAGAACATTCAATTAAACATTTGATTGTAATATTGGTCTCAATGTTAAATATTAGTAAATATGATTCTGTAAAGTTTTTATATAAAAAGCTGAAATTTAATCATGAAACATTTAAGCATATGCAATAGATGAATGTTTCTAAGCAGATTTGGCGGATTAAATAATGAAATTTAGTGGAGATTTTTGCGGCTCAGCAAGAATAAAGCTTTTTGATGAACGTTTTCATAAATTAAAATAAGATCGAAGATACAATTTGTAAAACGTAATAAAATAAAAAGGTACATTCACTATTTTTGACAAAATTTTAAATTTTCATGGGGTTGTAAATCTTATAATAACTAGATGAATAAGGAATGAATCCCAGTATAATGTGCATCATTATATTAAACACTATATGTAAGGCTAATGATTCTATTAACACTTATGAAGATCTATAGTATTTGAGCAGATAAATTTGATAATTTCCAAAACTCTTATATTTCAAAATTAAAGTGTGCGAATGCATTTAAATGAGAGCAAAAAGAGATTGATGCTGTTAAAACTAGGTGTTAATTTGCAATTATTTCGCATCACAAGAACTACCCAGTAAATTCGGCTATCTTTCTTTGCAATTATTCTCCATTATACCTATAATATAATGGTTAGGGTTTGAAGAAAAGTTACTAGAGAATTATTGACTTTTGAAATAATGCAGAATTTTACTTGAAGAAATCATTAAGTTATGAGTTCCAAATTGCTAAGCATGACGAAGGATCATTAAATTTGCTACAATTAAATACATTTATTGCAGAATTAAGATTTTTGAAATTAAAAGTTTGAAATATTGCCTTTTTGAATAAAAATTTAAATTTTATTATATAATCATGATAATATCTTATAGAAATTAAAAGAAAATATTTTAAACCATTCAAATATTTTGAATGTCTTATCAATTTAAAATATTAAAAGATAGCTTGATTTTATCATCATTAGTTGTTATCAAAGTTTTCTTCTTTTGATGAACAACAGTAAATGATTTGTTAATAGCTTGTCTTCCTTTTTTGCACCAAAATCAAAATTCTCACCCGATCAGTAATCGAAAATTTTGTAGCATACGATTATTTTCCATTGAAAAATTATCACTAAAAAACTTTAAAAAATTAACTTTTATTCTTAATTTCATGTATGAAGGAGGTAGGAAATGACTTTAAGATTGACATCCTATTCATGGCTAAAGTTTTAGGAACTTTGAAGCCTAATTTGATATTGAAATTTTGGAAGATCAATGAATATGGGGATAAAAGTTGCATATCCTTGGACATTAAGAGGACATGTTATGAGAGTGGATAGCGTTCGACGATTCACTGAAAAAGTTACTCCTCGAAAAGACTATCTCAAGCCATCAAGTTTTTTGAATATTTTCTATCGTCTTTTTATTTTTAGTAAATTAGGATGCTCATTAAACAGTATGATTAAATATAGTAAAATTTTTAATTTATTTTTCAAGGGAAAATAATCGTACGCTACAAAATTCTTTCGATTCATCATTCAATTGAGAATGATAATTTTGTAGCATTTTTCTAAAAAACGCTACAAAATTATTAAGTTATGATGATAATCTTGCACTCAATTTTGAAACTCTCTGATTTACAAATAAGCATTCCTTTGGAAAAGCAGTCCTATTATGATTCAAGATATTTTAAAGCCCCTATTTCATACAATGCGCAGATCGATTCGAAATTGCAAGAACTCTCAAGAAAAATGCAGCAGCAAAGAAGATTCCATAGTTTCTAGCATCAAAAATTTACAACCTTAATACAACAGTTAAAGAGAAGCTCGAAAAGAAAATAATTAACCATAAAGCTGGAAACCATTCGATATATACTATTAGATCTAATAAAAAGTTAATTATAACATATTTTACATGCTATTTGTTAACTCTGTTCCATTATATTACCATATATATCTTTTTGAAATCTAAAATATTTTTACGATTTTAACCATGTGTTGTTGAAACCATATATCAATCTTAGCTAAAGTATAGTTTATGAGTCTGTCACCATCTAACGTATGAATTTTCAAAAATGTCAAATATGTTCATTTTTTCTGTATATTCAGCCATAATTTCACGTAGTTATACTATTCAACTATTATTTAATATTTTTATCGATTTAAATATATGATGAGATGCTTAGTTCTCCTGGAAATCGATTTTTAATCGCAATTTTAACTTTGCAAAAAAAATTCAAAAATAAAAATCTCTCTCAATTTTCTAAGTTTTATAACTCGCCAAATCTCTAGCCAAATTTTTTGGCCCGTATAAATATTGTTAGGCACTATATAGGGATGCTATTTATCCTATTTTCATCCCATTTTACTGTTATCGCCTAGTGAATGTACCTTTGAAAACAATTCATTTTGAACCGTTAATTTTTGAACGAGTAAATCCATGAAAAAATTTTTGACACTTATGTAGTTACTTGCAACTACTATCGCCATTAATAAGAATTAATCATAATAAGGATCAGTTGACAAAATTAATCTTTGAAATTTTTGAATATTAAACTTGATTTTCGATTTTTAATTATTTGTCTGATTAGAATTGCAATCATCAATAATATGTAATAAACAGAAATTCATCAAAAGTGACAGCTCTCAATTTTTTGACATTTGTAAATTCTAAATTGAATGAGAAAAATGAAATAATACTAAGCATAATACAATATTCTAGATTTAATTATAATTAGGAAAAAGTTGGTTTTGAGAGTACTTTTCATAGGCATATAGAATGAAATCTTCTGAAAAATAATATCACATAAACTCATATTATTTTCTAATATATAACTATTTTATATAAAAATCAAATTCAATGATCTTAAAAGCGAAGGATAAACCTCAAAATTTACGAATATAATGAGTGGGAATATAATGCTTATCTATCATAAAACCATATGAAATATCAATTTTTGCGTTACGCCTAATTTTTGACGACAATTAGCAAAAAATGTTAAATGTTAACACTCAGTCCATTTGAATATGAAAAATAAAATTGACTTTGATTAAATGTTTTTATTTATCATGCAATTCTTCTTGCGACCAAAGATTTGAATAAAAGTTCAAAAAATAAGATAGCTTAAAAAATAATATACGGTAGTGTTTACTAATAGATGAATAGTATATAAATTCTATTAAAATGGATTTGATCCAAAAAAATATATAAAATTTGATCATAAATAAAATCGTTTTAAATTACTTCTTCATTTAAATTATAACAATTATTTTTGGTTTTATATTTTTTTGGATCAAATCCATTTTAATAGAATTTATATACTATTCATCTATTAGTAAACACTACCGTATATTATTTTTTAAGCTATCTTATTTTTTGAACTTTTATTCAAATCTTTGTCGCAAGAAGAATTGCATGATAAATAAAAACATTTAATCAAAGTCAATTTTATTTTTCATATTCAAATGGACTGAGTGTTAACATTTAACATTTTTTGCTAATTGTCGTCAAAAATTAGGCGTAAAGCAAAAATTGATATTTCATATGGTTTTATGATAGATAAGCATTATATTCCCACTCATTATATTCGTAAATTTTGAGGTTTATCCTTCGCTTTTAAGATCATTGAATTTGATTTTTATATAAAATAGTTATATATTAGAAAATAATATGAGTTTATGTGATATTATTTTTCAGAAGATTTTGTGTTCTTCTTCAAAATTTTATTTTTTTATTAAAAAGAATCTTTACAAAATATACATTTACTTTAATTAATATTTAAAAACGTGCTCTATCAAAAGTTCCAAAAATTCAATATTTTAGCTTTTCTGAGGTGTCACTTTTGATGAATTTCTGTTTACAACAAAATGTCTTGATTTTGAATTTCAAAATAGTCATGATTAAAAATGTGAACCAAATTGCAAATTTTTAATAAAACCAAACAATCCATGATGCATACTGTTATAAATTTATGAGAAAGACAGGACTAACAAAATTAGATATTTACATTTATTCAATATTCAAAATGTTTATTTTGAATTATCAATATAATTAAATCATATTGCATTTCATGCACGATTTTTCTCTCAAAAAATTGAATTGCTATTCAACTGCGATTTTGAGATGACTATATTTTTTCAAGAAATAAACTTTTTACAAAAGGATAAACCAAAGATAATAAGAAAACGCCTTTATTAAATTGTAATTCAAAAAGTGTGTTTTTTCTTTCAATAGAATTGAATTTTCATTCAATTATCATGGCAATTTTTTAAACTTGTACCAATATTGTAAAACTCTGGTTATTCATTAATGTTTCTGGAAAAAAATTCAACGCTTCAATCAAATAAAGCGAGGTATGTAAATGGATCCTTATTGGGATGGGAGTTGTATGGATCCATCTTACTACGACAACTGCTATAATGAAATTGAGGAAAATTCGGTCTCTAGCAATTTAGAAGATGTTGATCCAGGGCTGAAAATTATCCAAGATTTTTCAACAAATCCAACAGATATCGAAAAATTTCAAAGCCTAAAAGACGTTACAGACGAACAAACGCTATGTTCAGTCACAAACTACGTGAAATTACAAGTTTTTTTTAATATTTTAGATCAATATTCCGATGTAAAAGAAATATGCACCTTAGATGTGCAAATACTTTCAATACTCCTTAAGAATTCGGCAGCCAAAATATATGATGAAACATTTATGGAATTTTTATTATCCCATCAAAACCTTATCATCGCACCGTTACTATATTATCCGATTCACTACCTAGGTAGTAATAGAGATACGACAAAAGTTATAATAGACATTTGTAACGAAATTTTAGAATCCATAAATTTTGATGATTCATTTGATGAAACCTCAATTAATCAGATCAGATATTTATTACTAACGATGTACGATTACAGTCGCAACACTGGATCAATCAATTTCCAAAGAGATTTAGAAGAACAATTTACAAGAATTATAGACAATCCAAATGAAACTTGGAAGCCATGCATTGGACCATTTTACAAGTTACTGTCGGTTATTTCACTTCATGAAAAAAATTTTCAGAAATCTTTCGATTATATCTCGAAATATGCAGAAACAGATAATATAGATTCGATAACTCAAGACTCTATCGAAGGAGCTTTAGAATACATATATAGTTACATTCAAAACGATACTATAAACACATTAAATGAAGATGATATCATACAAATTATGGATCTGATGCTTTATATTCGATTCAAGTTAGATAGCCAAGTTGTTTTGTTGGATATTGTAGAATTTCTTGCGAATAAGAACGAAATATTTTATGAAAGCGAATCTTTGATGGAATTACTCATAGATTCGTTTAATGAAGCCGATTTGATTAGCGAAACGAGAATTTATCTGCTCATGTTAATTTTAGAAAATTATCCTAGAGATGAAAACTGGTTTTACATGGAACCTCAAATTTATGATAGGATAATACTGAATTCTGATAAACTAGAAACATTCCAAAATGGAAAAATCCTGATTCAAAGAATAAGAGCAGAATATAAAACGAATATTAGACGCTAATCCTGTTAATCATGTTATTAATCTTGTTTGTTTGTTTGTTATAAAGATAATTTCTATCACTTATACATGTTATTTTTTTAAATATATTAAAATTTAAGAACAAAATCATGATTTTTGCAGTTAAGAATAAACTATATTCGAATGAAACTTGCTGTAATTGTTTTTGTTAGCTATACTTGTGAAACAAAAATTGAAATCTGATCAATATTCAATTTTCAGCCATGCTCTTCTCAACATTCCTCAAAATATAAATAGAAATAGCAAATAATTAGATAAATTAACTCTAAAATTAGATTTATGAGAAAAGAGTTGTTTTATATTGATAAATTGTGAGAAATTTTGATCAATTGGATGGAATGTAGAGCCAAAAAATGCCTATTGAGCATTCAGAACTCCATAGAAGTTAAAAATTTAAGAATTATTCTCGAAAATACGAAATTATATATAAAATTTTTATTAAATAAACAAATTATCTATTCTTAAGCTTCAGACGGTTCTTCTTTTGTCTTTCTAGTTCAGCATAATACTCGATACGTTTTCTCTTTTCTTCTTGCTTTGCCTTGACCCAATCAACGTACCAGACGATTGTATCTGCTCGTTTGTATACAATAAAGCAGAAAAGAATGGTTGCGAAACAAAGAGGAATCTGAATTGTGTAAAATGGCATTCCTCCTCTTTCTCTCATAGAATAATAGAAGTTCACGGGCTTTACAAACGGTTTTAACCAAATTCCTGGTCCATAACCTGTCAATTGATGATTTACGATATCTTCGACGAAAGAATCGATATATTTCTCATCAAGAGGCTTATCATAGACCCAGAATGTATATGATGATCGATTAAGGAATGCTATGTATCCATAGTCCTTCGGTTTCTGATTTATATATCTACAAATCGAAGGAGAGAGAATACAGTTCGTCTGTGTAACTGCCATGTAGTTCTCGACCACTTCTGCGAATGGTTTGATGATTGGCCCGAATTCGTCAGGTCTTACGAAAACAGCAAATGGAATTTTGTATTTGAAGGAAATATCGCTTATTGCTTGAGTGTAATGTGTAAGGAATGGTATATTGCGACGAATTATGAAGGCTTCTGCGTTTTGATATGTTAATGTTTCCATCATTTTGAAAGTTTTGTTTCCTTTGTGAGATGTTAAGTAAGGAGCATGCAGTGATTTGTCTTTGAGTAGGAAAATCTGTGTGGGTAAGAATTTCATGTTTTTGGCAATTTGTTTTGCGATTTCGATTGAATCTTTGTCATTTGTCGAAATATTAAATAAGAAATACTCTCCATCATTGAGATCTGGATTTAGATTTTCTTGGATTTGTTTGGAGATGAATGGGGAGTATTTACTTTTCCTAACTTTAATAATTGGCGAAGCAGTGATGTTTCTAAGATATTGAGTAACGCTGTTAATATGGAGTCGACCATTGTAAATTTCTGGAGTTGATTGTGGAGTTTCATACCATAAAAGTCTTGGAATTTCTTTTCTGTCAAATTGATGGCATAATTCGAGATTTTTGCTGCATAAAACGTCTGCATATGTTGCAATATCTCTGTATTCGTCTGCATCTGAGAGAATATTCCATTGGCTTAGGAATTGTTGACTTTCTAAATTCGAATTATCCCAAATGTAGACAAAAACGCTTTTGGTTGATGGGGACTTGAATATTTTGTTGTACTTTTTCTTGTCCAGCTCGATGGATTTAGACATCGAAAAAGTTAGTAAAAGAGAAATAAGCATCTATAAAAAATAATGAGAATATCACTGAGCGAAATATATTTATTATGGCCAACTGATGTGATACTCCTGATTACAATTAATGAAGCATCAAATAAAATATCAAAAATTGTATTTTATTATAAATAGATGGAAAATAATAGAAATAAATTGCTCTATTTGGTAAGTTTTATTATAATAATTGCTTTAATACGCTTTTGAAACATGACATAAAAAAAAAGAAAATATTCTAAAAAAAATTAAAGAGGTTCATTGATATCTTCCTCCTTATCAACATATTCAGCTGGTTGGGAGGAGTCATGGTCTGATATATCAGGAATTGGCTGTTTAATTGGACGAGTTTCGTCAATTTCAGCAGCTCCGATCATTTCATTATCGGCATCGATTGTTTCAGCCTTTTCATACAAAGCGTTCTTCTCAGGAACTGTCTTATGGGCGTAAATAAGTGAAATTGAACAAGCAGTGAAAACTCCTGCTGGCATGAAGGCCAAAGCACTTGTTTCTGGGATAAAGAATCCTAGGACAATAGTTAGATCTAAAATAACGATGTAATGAACAGAAAATGTCAAATAATTGTAATATCTGTTTTGATCAACAGTTTTAACCTTTGCTTTCACAAGAATTGCATTGACCACATAATATATTGCGTATAAAATGAACATTACGCAATGGCAAATATTGAAACACATATTTGAACCGGAAAACATTGGGAAAAGCTCTGCGTACTGCCTGTTATTAATTGTAGATGATAAAGCAAGTAATAAAAGAACGCTAAATGAAAGGATTAAATAAGGAATTGCGATGGTAAGATGGGGATTATCAATTTGCTCTCGTCCAAAGTAAGAAAAGATCGATAATGTGTAGAATATGAAGTAAGAGAAGAACAAATCCCTTGAAAATATCTTCCTAAAAATGTTGACATAACTTGCAAAATACAAATCAAAGAGAGAGAAGAGATCTGTATAGCAGACTAAAAGGATTATCAGTCCAAGTGTAAGATGCTGCTCAAAGGTTGGGATTACCCCAAAGCTACCCACGTTTATGAAGTAATTAATGCAATAAAAAGCGGAAATAACGGAAATGAACACTTCGAAACCGATAAATATCTTGGTGAATTTACGATTTGCGCAAGTAATTTCAACTGAATCAAAGAGATTTAGTTGTTCCGAATTAAATTCAACATCAATTCTATCGAAATTAAGAACATGAGCTCTGACTGCTGGTGTCTTTGCAGTTATGGATTCTTTAATGTCAGAAACAAATGTGTTAACCATTAAATTTTTTCTGTAAAGAGAAACATTAATTTGGCCTTTAATTTTGAGTTTGCTTCCCTTTTCTGCAGGATGTAAATAGATGTCTACGTATTGATCTGTATATTTGACGTCTGTATGCGAAATTTTATATTTGCTGAAATTCGCTGATTTGTTAACTTGTATTGGGTTAATACGTGTGACAGAAGCCGTTGGGCAGTATAAACATAATAAGCATGCGATCGATAAGATGACATATGGAATTACGAGATGAATTTTCGATATTTTTGATATTTTGAAATCGCAAACTAATGGATGATCATTCACAGTATCAGTATTTGATATAGCAATTGCATTCAAACCATGAGTGGATATAAAATCCTCCATTTTTTTCAGTTTTTATCCCCTCGATTTTTTATTTTCTCACCCTCAATAAATTTCTTCAATGAACCAAAGAACAGAACTATCCATAGTTTAATATAATATGCTTCTTTAACGAGACTTTTTTAATGATTTCCTCAATGAATTTGTCCCATTAGAAGCTTGAAACTCGAAATGGTAACCACCAAATTTCAACCAAAAAAGTTAAATTAAGAAGAAAAGGCAATGATTTTATGGCCTAACAGTTTATGTTGTATATCATATTTCGAAAAGTTACGAGAAAAACCCAAAATTCGAATCCGAAAAGTAGGAAGAAAGCAGTTTCATAAGATAATCCATAACAAAAATTTCATACATCAGTTAGAAGATGATTGTTTATGAGTAAAAATCAAATTCTACTGAAGATATTAAAAATAAAAAATATTAACTCAAAAAAACAAATGTAAAATCTCTAAATCTTTCAAAACTCTCAGAAATAATAGGTAAATTACGATTAAATTTGTCAGAAAAACAAAAATCACATTCTTTATACGAATCATTTCGTTTTCGATTAGGAAAACTAATGATCAGTGTAAACAATGTGATAAGTGTATACTAAGACTCATTGGAAATAGAGAATTATTGAATAAATAAAATAAGAAAGAGAAAATTCCATAAATTGAAGAATTTCTAGTTACTTGACTTCTAAACCAATCAAATATTAAATCTAAAATTAAAAAAAAGAATCAAATGTCCGGCCATGAAATAAAAGTTTGAAATTGATTGGGTAATTAGTTGCCAAGTTGCTAGACAATCCTTCCAATGTGAGAATTGATTGCTAATTTTGTACAGATATAATATAAAATTTATTTAAGCCTCAGGGATTGGAATCTCTCCGGAAGCAATCTTCTTTTGAACTTCCTTTGGATCCATTCCGTCAACATGAGCACCCATCGCCTGCGCTGTTCCGAGGACCTCTTTGACTGTGCCTGAGAGCTTGCGAGCGCATGACTTTGACCTCATTGTGCGGGCAATGTCAATGATTGTATCAAGAGAAAGACTTCCACTGTGCTTGACAGCTTTTGTCTTCTTGCGATCGCGATGTGGCTCGTTCAGGGCGGCAATCAAAAGAGTGGAGGTAGAGTTCTCAACGTCAACCTTGAACTCACGGTTTTGGACCGTGATCTTGACTGTTGCGCGGAATCCCTTAAACTTTTCGGTGGCTTTAGCTACCTCTTGTGCAACTTTTGGAGCTGGAACACCGAGTGGACCAAGCTTTGGTGCAAGCTTGGATGTAACACCGGTTTCACCACCCCATACGCGGCACTTGATGATAACTGCTTGATCAGCCATGATAAAATGAAAAAAAAATTGAGAGGGATCGTGTCCCGACTTTGAATATGAATAGTCTTTGGAGATTTAGATTTACCATACTAAATAATATCTATTTATTATGAAATTGGTCCCTAAAACAAAATGATCATTTCGATAAAATCAATTTTAGTATTTTTAAGCTTTTTATGAATGATCGTGGAGTTACTAGTTAAATGAAACATAAAACTCATCGAAAATATTTCCAAAAAAATTTCGAAATTGATTTTTATTTTTAAGAATTTTTGTTAAAATTTCACTAATTTTTTGAATTTTGTGATTTTTTTGGAAAAATAAATCTGTGATATTAGATTATATTATACATCAAATTTAAAATTCCGTCCAAATTAGTCTAAAAAGATCAATTTTATTGATAATAATTTTTATCGCTGCCATTCAAGTCTGTTTTAAAGATAATTTGGATATGTCTACATGATTGTAATGCATGTGGTAATTAATTTTTTTTATTGGATTTTTTACCGAAATCTGCAATATAATCATCTTCTCTTTTAGGATTTCAAATGACATTGAGAATTCTGTCAAGAACGAATTGATCTTTGACAACAATATCAGATCTTTTTATGTCACTTTTCAGAATTTTGAAATTTATTTCAATTTGACTTTTATAAAATTTCAATAGTATCACGAATTGCTTTCTTTTTCGAACGTTATAAATAAACTCAAAAGTGTAAAGTTCACAATTTAAATCCCATAAGAAATTCACAGTCGGATTTTTTTTTTCTTCATAAAAAAATTTCTTATGTTTTTCCTTTTTGAAATGCATTTAACTACCGATGAACCATTCGTAATGAACAAAGAAGTACAAGCATTTCAACGTGGGGAAGGTGGCACTGATTTTAATTACACTCTTTTCCCTTATCATACAAATTTTATTTCGATCACTGAGATCAAAGAGGAGCGCTTTCTGAATTCACCTCTTACAATACCAGAAGAAGTGATATTTCCAGATGGACATACTTGTTCTATCAGTATTATTTCAACTAATGCTTTAAAATCCCTACAAACGACCAAAGTGATATTACCTGCATCAATTATCGCATTACGAGGCAATATAGCACCAGAATCTCATATTACATTCATTGATTTATCGAAAACAAAAATTACAAAATTAGATAATTCAGCATTTGAAAAATGGGTTAACTTAGTTGAGATCATTTTACCAGAGACATTAACTTCATTACCGAAATCATGCTTTTTAAACAGTCTTTCATTAACAAATCCAAAAATTCCTTTAAAAACCAATCTAGATCAAGCAGACAAAGCTTTTTCCAGCTGTATATCACTACGAGAGCTGAACTTATCACAATCAAACATTACAATCATTCCAAATTATTTCTTTTTCAATTGTATATCATTATCTAACCTAATTCTTCCAGAAATCAGGCGCATTGGAGCATATTCATTCTACAGAACATGTATAAGTCACTTCGAATTACCTAATTCTGTTAGATTGAACACAGCCAGCTTTGCACAGATAAATACAGAGCAACCAGTAGTTAAAATAGATGTTACTGATATTACTGACGCATGTTTTGCAGGATGCACGCAAATGAAATCGATAATTATTGGAGAAAATGTTAAAAAAATTCAAATTGACTCTTTTAAGAACTGTTCTTCACTTGCGAACATAGAAATACTTGGATCATTAAATAAAATCATGCATGGAGCGTTTTTTAATACTTCTTCGCTGAAATTCATCAATTTTTCAAATTGTAATTTTGGAAATTATCCTTACGCGTGCTTTGAAATGTCAGGAATAGAAAATATCATATCCCCACCAATTATAACAGCAATAGATCACCATGCGTTCTCAAAAACAGGTATTTCTGAGTTAATTTTTTCGAATTTAATGAAATCTATTAAATATGATGCTTATTCCAGCTGTCACAAGCTAAAAATAGTTAATTTGTCAGAATCTCAAGTTGAAGTGATAGAACACCATGCTTTTTTCGATTGTTTTAATTTAGAAAAAATTATATTCCCCAAAAACAGAGGAATAGCAATCGGAGAGGCAGCATTTCAGAATAACACAAAGTTAAAGTCATTGGATTTCGATGACGGAGTTTATTTTGACAAATATTCTTTTGCATATTGTATTTCTTTAGAAACAGTGAGGTTTTATTATTGCGAAGAAATACAGAGTGCAGCATTCACTGGTTGCACCAATTTATCTGTATTTTGTCCGAAAAAAAATTCAGAATATCGACTCGGATTTTATTTTGAGGAGATATACAACTTAATAGGCTCTAATGCCTTTTCCAATGCTGTTAAGCCAACTTTTTTGTATATTGGAAAGAAAATTAACATTTTATCTGATTATTGTTTTTCCAACATGGAAAACTTGAAGATTATAGACTTACATGAATCAGAAGTCACAACAATCGGTTATTCTGCGTTTTCCGGTTGTAAAAAATTAGAAACTTTATATCTTTCAGAAACAATCACGGATATTCGTGATTACGCGTTCTCATCTGTCAAGAGGATCGTTGTTATCTATTGCGGTAACCATTCTTATTACGCTAGCTATAATTCTTTCCCAAATTCGGCCGAAGTTGTATATTATTCGAAAAATTACAGTAACTTCCTTGGAAACATCGAGCCCATGTATTCCGGAATCTGTTTATTGCCTCAGGAAGGTTTGCCAACGCCAAGACCCACAGCAGAGCCAATTCCTAAGATCTACAATGCGAGAACAAACGCTACGTTAAGGTCTTTAGCCAAAGAAGTTGTTATTCCTGCTTCAACGCCGAATTATAATTTGCAAGGGGAATATTACTTCACTCCTATAGTAACGGTTGGCCGAACAAAGCAGATTTACTTCACAAGGAAGTCTGTTATGATTATTTTAGGATCCGTCGCTTTAATTCTTTTAATTGCGAAAATTATTTATTCAAGGGTATTTATGATTATCGATCACTATACACAAGATGAAAATACACTCATGGATAATAACGATTATGCCAATGAGCCCTTGTAATTGCCGGAATTTTGTTACGGCATTTTTTTTAGAATTGACATGTAATTGCTTGTTTTGTTATATTATTGTTATGTATTATATTAAATGATTATGTTTTTAATATTAAATCAGAATTCTGTTACAAATTTTTCATATTCGCATGTCATTTCATGATATAATTCATCGGAAACATTATAAACAGTTCTGTTATCATTTACATGCAATATATGTTAAGCAATCTTGCGTTCGAGGTATTACGTTGGAGGTTTTTTATGCTGATTCAAACGTTTTGAAAGAAATTTTTTATTACAAAAATTACAGCCCTACCGAATTATATACAAGTATATCAGATTTATAGTGTATTTCATTTTTTTCGCATTAAACGAGTGAACTAGACAATTGTCAACAATCTCAAAATTAATTTAATAAAAAAATCAAATTTGGATAAGAAAATTAGTTGAGCCACACTGTATAGCATACTTCTGCATATAAGTGATTCAATAAGGATGTAATTTTATTTGGTCAATAAACTGTTAAAAATCTAATACGATCTAATGCGATTGTAAATACGCCAGAATTAATAAATTGGTCATTGCAATATAATATTTCCGGCTAAGGACGCTCAAACAAAGTGTAAACGCCCTTCAATGATTTTTTTATTCAAAAGTTAATTATGTTTTTGAATAGCAATAAAAGCTATCGTATATCAGAATTGATTTTATTTCTGACAAAGAGGAATTGAATTCTGATATAAATTGTTAAAACAATTGAAAAATTGATAGGTTTACTTCAAACACATTCATAATAAATAAAATCAAATTCAGACTTTTGTCAGACGCTCGAATTCAAACTGTCTTTGTGCATAAATATCATTAATTGCTGATTTTGATGGATGATTCAATAAGTAATCGATTGAGAGCATGTGTGAACAATAGGCACCGTCTCTTGAGGCTTTGGCTTTCAAAACCATGCCGGAAACATCTAAAACAAGTTTGTATTGTCCGCTGCGTGGTTTGTGTTTGATACAGCCTATTGTTTCCAATAAACTTAATGCGAGATACATCCTTCTTTCAATTTGTTTCTTATCCGGAACACCATATGAGAATAGGGTTGAGACACTCTTTATGTTGAGCAAATTAACGTTCAAGAATGGGTACAAAATCATGAAATATTCAGCGATTTGACCGAGATGGGGAGAAGTTTCGAGCTGGAAAATATTTTGGATAGTTGCACTGTTCGATTTGGACTCCAGTTGAAGATACGTGTTCTCAATATGGTTCAATAATGAGGAGAATCCAAACCAAGATAACTTCCCTCTTCCATTATTGATCGTGACACCGAAATATGTTAAAAGATTAAAGAGTTCATAGAGCCTACGGTGGTTTCCTTGGTGCTGGACAGAGAGTGACATTATGTTTATTTGCTTGGGCTTTTGTCTTTCACACTTCTGGATAACTTCCTTGAGAACAGAAGAGACCGGTGTAACATTCTTTCGCTTCGAGAAACTCGAGAGAGTAAACTCCTCGTCGTCGTCACTATACATTTTGACAAAAATGATTGGAAATGTTAATAATCGAATTTGAAATAGATATTTATTTGAAATAGGAGATTAGTAATATTGATTTTTTTCTCTGTCAGACCAAATTGATATCGATTCTCAAAAATATTTGAGAACTAATTGGTTTTATTTCGTCAAATATTTTAATATTCTCTATGAAAACATATAACTATCTCCCGAAATTTGACTGCAGCATTCTTGTTGTTATGAAGAATTATCCAGCAATCCGAGATTTTTTTCTAGCGCATTCAAATTTTGTGGGCCGCTATATTTATATATTTGAGATAATATCTGAAATGACGAACTATGGTTTTAGATATTAGAATCCATTTTTCACTAATTATTTTTTCCTGGCAAAAAAATTGTTAGGATTTTGAATTTTACTTGGAATTTGTTTTCTTGCAGATTCATCATAGAACTTAATCATGCATTTTGTTTGAAAACTCTTCAAATTTGAATGATTCATCGATATTTTATATTTTTTATTAACGTGCATATTTATATTTTTGAAAAATAGAGATAAAAAGTGAGTGTTTTTAATGAGTTTTTTAATATGGACTCAATTTACAATTTCAAATGTATGACTCTAATCTGCGAATATGTTTTCATTTATTACCACTGGTATTAGTGGTTTCTATTTTCTAAAATTTTCTGCGAAATATCAATATTTCCTTGATTGTTGTTTTCAATATTTTTAAAGCAGTTTATTTTGAAGCACATTTATATATTAACAGCTGTAATCTTTAAATTTTATTTTTTTATTCTTTTCTTGTTGTTTATTTTTTATGGAATTTTTTATTTAATGCCAAATTCCATTTCTACTAACTTCAAACATTAAGTATCCAAATTTAATTTCATTTCTTGCAAATTATCTTCTTATTGATTGTTCGCGTATTATTCACTGCATATTGGAATAGTTCATGCATTAGTTTCACCAATAGATCAAGCAATGATAATATAATTTCTATTTTCTGCAAAATACTTCCCTTTCTCTTTTGATCTTTGAGAAATTTAATTCATTTATAAAAGAAAAATATTAATATCAATTAATTCATCTAACGCTATATCTGTGCTCGCTGTTGATTTTAAATAAATGTAATCGGGATTACATAAATTTTCAGATTACGGGATCAAATATTTCAAAAACATTAAATTAAGGCAACTATCCACATGCCATAGTAACATATTCTTTCATTTAAAATGATTAGTAAAAGCGAAATTCCAAATTTAACGTTTCATTTTATGTCATCTGATTCATTTATTAATGAATGAAGATTCTATTTTCAGTATCAAAAATATTTATTTTTTCCAAAATCATTAAATATATGAATTTCGATTAAATTTGATTTCAATCTCCGGCTCATCTTAATATTTAAGAATAATTTCAGCAGAAACAATTCAATAAATGCCTGTACAATGATAATTCCTTATTAGCTTATAATAATTATATAAATTAACCGAATTTACATCATCAGTATTAAAAAATCAATATTCAATGATGTATTCACACGGATTATAATATATAGAACTATTGAAAGCGTAACATATATTCAAACAACAAAAATTTTATATTAAAATAATGATGCCAATTATTTGTTCACTGATTCATAATAATCACCATTTTATTAATAAGTAAATTGAGTGAACTCATGGAAAATGAACATATCTATACTCGATATGAGAAAATACACTGAAGATTTTGAAAATTTAATCTTTTGCCATCTAGATTTAATCCTTTCTTTGTTTCAAGTTTCTAATCAAATCAATTCAAACAAAGTTTTTCTTTCCAAATAGAGTACGAGTTCAGAAATCGAATTCCATTAATTTAATGGAAAACTCGATATTAATCAAAAACAACCATGTTACAATCAATAATATGATGTTTCCAACCAATTTCTCTTATAAAAATGATTTTACATCTAAATTTTGAAATAAATTTTTCGACATTTTAATAAACTAAGTAAAATTAACCAATAAACCAAATGTCCAGTCAACCAGAGTTCTTTATCTGGTGTGCCAATGCTTTCAAATTCTATTTTAATACGATATTTTTTTTTTGGATATGAAATAACTTTGATGTTCTTGACAGAGGGATAAAACTTGAACATTTAAGTCCTGACAACCATGAGTTTACTTCTTTTTTTACATTGAGTATGAAATATCTTCTTCTTTTTAATAAACCAAGTCCAATTAACCAATAAACAAAACGTTCAGTCAATCAAAGTTTGTTATTTGGTGTGTCAATGCTTTCAAATTCTATTTAATAATTATGATTTTTTTTGGGTATGAAATAGCGTTGATGATCTTGACATAGAGAAAAAATTGAACGTTCGAGCCGTGTCAACCATGAATTTAGTTTTCTTTTTACATCGAATATGAAATAATCTTCTCTTTTTATTACTGAAAGAAGTATAATTAACGAATAAACCAAATGTATGGTCAATTGGAATTCTTTATTTGCTGCATCTTTGTTTTCAAATTCTTTTTTTATTTGATTTTTTAAAAATCTTCTTGTTATTACTGAAAGAAGTATAATTAACGGATAAACCAAATGTTTAGTCCATGGAAGTTCTTTATTTGGTGCATCTATGTTTTCAAATTCTTTTTTTAATTTGATTTTTTTAATATTTTCTTCTTATTTTATGAAAAAAGTAAAATTAACCAAGAATCGAAATGTTTAGTCAATTAAAGTTCTTTATTTGGTGCATCTATGTTTTCAAATTCCTTTTTAATATCTTCAATTGGTTTTTCTTGTTTTTTCTTCTTCAATGGGTCATCATCAGCATTATCCCATCCTTCTATTTCCTCACCCTGTACTTCCATCTCCTTCAATTGAGGATCATCCCTTGGAAATGCTTCATTTTCGAGTTTTATGCCTACAGGGATATCTAATTCGAGCCACATCTTGCGGAAGTACTCTGTGAGTCTGTCTGAGTCTCTTTTGTTGTATGAATACATGTATTTGACGAATCTGCCCGCTTCACTCTTAAATTCTTTTTCATCTTTGCGTGGAAGGAAGTCATCTTTGATCGGTGGCCTTGTGCAACGACAAATAAATCGTGCGATGTCGTCTGATGACCAATCATGGGCAAAAACTATAGATTCAGATTGATTTTGATGCGGATAGAATCTGAGCGATGGATACTCAAGGATATGTGGGTAATGGTATTGTCCCGTATTATTGAACGTATTAATGTAAGCGAATCTGACGTTTGTGACGTTATTTTCCTTTAATTTTTCTGCGGCCAAATTTAAGAGGTTTATGTAATAAGAGTTATCGTCTAACGTCGTTCTTAAGTAAAGGACCACTAAATCGGCCACGCGGTTCCTCAAAAAGTGTTCGTAATTATTTGCGTTTAATTTCTTGACCAAACCTGATTCATCTTCTTCCGTAAGGTTCTCGCAATGGTACTGGATCTTTAGCTTGCCGGAAACGATCTCGTCGAAGTAATTTGTAAATGATCTGTTATAATCTCCTCTTGAGAAAGGATATTGGAAGCAGTAGCTCTTGTATTTTTCGTTTGGATAGAATCCTTGGTAAACAGGGTCGAAAGCGATGAAGTTGTCTCCATCTTGGAAAGACAATAAACAAGCGCGCTCAGCAACGAATCGTAAGTCCCTGGAAAGGAATCCAAATTGTAGGGAAGGATATTTAAGAGCCATATCGTATAGGTATTCCTCTTGTTCTGTGATCAATTCGTCGGACATCATGGCTACAATGGTTTTCGGAGAGTTTACGAGGTCGTCGTAGATATATTGCTTGAAGACTGGTTCGGCCACTTCAAAGAAAGCGTTGAAATCTGGCTCAAATGGCTGTAAAGCGTGATCTTCGAGTCTGAAGAGGCAAATTTCGAGCGCTGAGACGTTTAACAAGTTCATGTTCTTCCTGGAGGTGACAATGACGTCCATAGCACCTAAGTATGGAGCAACTTTGAATCTGAGATCCAAAGTTTTTTCGAGAAGATCTGGAGATGTAATCAAACTGAATCTGTAACAGCCAAGTGTAGCATATAAGTCCTTCATTTCATCAACTGTATCGACTGTTTGTGAGAAGAATCTTTTAAGAGTAAATAAGAGTGAAACTTCGTTCATTGGATAAGGGCATGCTAACCACAATGAGTGGTTCTTGAAAAGGAATAAAGCTGGTGGTGTAACAAGATACTTTTGTGTTAATTTGAGTGGATTTGTTGCATCAACGTATAAAAATGGACCATTGTTCATGAAAAGGGAGCTTGCTCCTGAAAATGCAATGTGCTGTTGGATAATTTCGAATTTGTTTGATGGAGCAACTAAAACAGCGACAAAATCTGTTGTATTAACAATACTCCACATCTTGTGCTCAGTAACTGTTGGAACAAAAGGCTGTGAAGTGTCATTAAATGAAATGTAATGATCTTCACTTAAACAAAGACTAAAAAGAAACGAAAACATATAAAAAAATTTTTGATTGGTTGAGACGTCAATTGACACAAAAGTGACAATCAATAAAAGTGACATTCATAAAAGTGACAAATTGTAATAAAAAGTGACAATGACTTACGAAGTACCAAGAAATTTCCGTCTATTAGAGGAATTAGAGGTCGGTGAGAAAGAACAAGATTTACCAGCAGGTATTTCATTCGGTCTTGAGGATCCTTCTGATGCAACTTTGACAAATTGGATTGGCTCTATTATTGGTCATCCACAGACTGCTTTCAGCAACCGCTTAATCTCCATAAGAATCTCGTGCGGCCAAAAGTATCCAAAACAAGCTCCGTTCGTTAAATTTATCACAAAAGTAAATCTTCCTTTTGTAGATCCAAACGGTGGCATCATTCTCGAAAAATTCCCAACACTCGGACATTGGCATTCAGAAACAACAATTCTTAAAATTTTAACAGATATCGCTGTTTTAATGAAGAAATACGGTCTTACACCCCAACCACCAGAAGGTTCTACATATTAAACAAAAACAAAATTACAAACAGAGATTTTTTGAAAAAATCTCAACGAAATCCTATTTGAAATTAAAATGTTTTAAAAATAAATAAACTCCAACCATTTTTTACAACTTTTCTATACATTATTTCTACTCCCTATGAATAAATAAAGAGATTTTACTTCTAATCATCTTATTTTTCGTTAAATTATAAAAACAATATATCTTGAAAAATCAAAACTAAAGATAATTAACAACAAAAAGATGTTTAGGCTCTAAATTTATGAGTGATTCAATAGCTTTATTTTAGTTTTATGATTAATTTTTTAAAAATTAGATTATTTTTTTTATAAAAATTAAAAAACTAGACTTTTTAATCAATCACTTACTGAGTATCGACGATCTTCTTGTAGCCCTCATAACGGGACTTCATATCATTAATAAGCTGTGGGAACTTCATTTCAGCCTCCTTTGGATAGATATCCTTAAGGGCGGCGAATCTGTTTTCATCCTTGACGAGTGGGTCGAGGCTGTATGTTGGTTCCTTGGAATCGATTGTGAGTGGCTTTGGCTTGGATGGGTTGTAGCGGTAGAGTGTGAGGTAGCCCATCTTGACAAGATCCTTGCAGTGCTTTGGTGTTGAGCCAAGGCCCTTCTTGATGCCGTGGTTGATGCAAGGAGAGTAGTTGACGATAAGAGCTGGGCCCTTGAACTCCTTAGCTTCGAAAACAGCCTTGAGAGCCTGAGCTGGATCAGCGAGCAAGCAAGTGTTAGCGACGTAGATGTTCTTGTATGTCATAGCGATGGCACCGAGATCCTTCTTAGCCTTTGTGTAACCAGCAGCAGAGAAGTTAGCAACAGCACCACGGGATGTAGCCTTAGAGCACTGGCCACCAGTGTTGGAGTAAACTTCTGTATCGAAGATGATGAACTTAACGTTTTCGCCTGTAGCAAGAACGTGATCGAGACCACCGTAGCCAATATCGTAAGCCCAGCCATCACCACCGACGATCCAAACGATCTTCTTGGCGAGGACATCAGCCTGTGTCTGAAGGGCGTACATCTTCTCTGTTGGGTTCTGGACCTTGGCAAGGAGTGGCTGGATCTTCCAGACGAGTTCGGCAGAGGCCTTCTCCTCATCCCAAACCTTGAGTAATTCTTGCATCATGTCCTTAAGTTCACCCTTGAACTCGTTGTTCTCTAAGCAGTCCTGGACGAGCTTCTTAGCGATGTTACGGCGGGCTTCGACAGCCTTGAAGATACCGTAACCGAATTCAGCGTTATCTTCGAAGAGGGAGTTGCCGAAGGCTGGACCGTGGCCACGCTCGTTGACTGTGTATGGGTTCCATGGGAATGTAGCGGACCAAACGAGGGAGCAGCCTGTACCGTTAGCAAGGTAGAGCTGGTCACCGTAGAGCTGTGTAAGGAGCTTGGAGATAGCTGTTTCACCGCAGCCTGCGCAGGCACCGTTGAATTCGAGGAGTGGCTGGCGGAACTGAACGTTGCGAACGTTTGTTGGTGGAAGGAGGTGTCCACGGTTTGGAGCGCCGAAGCACTTGACCCAGTTCTTGCCTTCTTCCTCGTCAACCTTTGGATTGCGGTACTGCATTGAGAGAGCCTGTGTTGGGCAGGATGTAACGCATGTGCCGCAGCCTGTGCAGTCGAGTGGAGAGATCTGGATACGGAATCTGTAGTCCTTGATCTCCTTGCCCTTGGCCTTGAGTGTGACCATGCCCTTAGCCTCTTCATCTGTCAACAAGAATGGACGGATGACAGCGTGTGGGCAGACCATGGAGCAGGTGTTGCACTGGATGCACTTCTTCTCGTCCCACTTTGGAACATCGACAGCGATACCACGCTTCTCCCATTGGGATGTGCCGTTTAGAACTGTGCCGAGGTCGACCATCTCATCGACAGAGACGGATTCACCTTCCTGAAGGATGGCCATGTCGCAAAGATGGCGGATGCCTTCGTGCTTTGGTGGTGGTGGAACCTTGGCGGCGAGCCATTCAGCCTTGTTGTACTTGAACTCCTTGAGGCCCTTGAGAGCTTCGTCGACCATTTCCCAGTTCTTTTGGATGACTTCCTTACCCTTACGAGCGTATGTCTTGGCGATGGACTTCTTGAGGAGGGCGAGGCACTCTTCAGCTGGAAGAACGTTGGCAAGGCCGAAGAAGACTGTCTGCATAAGCATGTTGATACGACCTGGAAGCTTAAGATCGATGGCGATTTGTGTAGCATCGATTGTGTAAAGCTTGGCATCCTTCTCAGCGAGTGACTTGCGAACGGAAGCTGGGAGATCCTTGTTGAGGTCAGCGGAAGCTGGGTAGTTGATGACGAAGATACCGCCCTGCTTGAGTGGCTTGATCATGTCGAACTTTGTCAAGTAGGCTGGGCAGTGGCAAGCGATGTAGTCAGCGCTCTGGACGTAGTATGGAGCGTTGATTGGCTTTGGACCGAAACGAAGGTGAGATGTTGTGACACCTCCGGACTTGTGGGCATCGTATGCGAAGTAAGCCTGACCATAAAGCTTTGTGTTTGTAACGATGAGCTTGATGGCTTCCTTGTTGGCACCGACTGTACCATCAGAGCCAAGGCCCCAGAAGATGCACTGGCGTGTGCCATCTGGAAGGTGGTCGAATGGCTTGCCCATTGGGATGGCTGTCTCTGGGTTGTGGAGACCGACTGTGAAGTCATCTTTTGGATAGTCCTGGTTGAGGTTCTTGCAGATGGCCTCGACGTGGACTGGAGCGAAGTCGCGAGATGAGATACCGTAGCGGCCACCAACGAGCTTGACGTTGCGGCGGCCCATGAGAGCGGAAGCGACATCTTCGTAAAGTGGTTCACGAGCAGATGTTGGGTCGACAACCTTGTCCATGACGGCGACCTTCTTGACGGAAGCTGGGATCTGCTTGAGGAAGAGATCAATGCCGAATGGGCGGAAGAGGTGGACCTTGATGAGGCCTGTCTTGGCTTCTGGGTGAGCGCAGATGTATTCCTCGACGGAATCGCAGCCAGAGCCGAGCATGACGATGAGGTTCTCTGGGTCACGTGGGCCGACATACTGGTATGGCTTGTAGTAACGGCCTGTCTTGTCACCGAGCTGCTTCATGATGTTCTCGACTTCATATGGAAGCTGTTTGAATGGGCGGCGGAACTTCTCCTGGATCTGCCATACGTATTCTGGGCCACCAATTGTACCACGCTGTGTTGGGTGCTCTGGGTTGAGGGAGCGAGCGCGATATTTGGCAAGAGCCTTCTGATCGATAAGTGGCCAGAGGGCTTCGTTTGGAATTTCTTCGTATGTGTTGATTTCGTGAGATGTACGGAAGCCATCGAAGAAGTGCATGAATGGGAGACCTGTCTTGATTGCTGTAAGGTGGGCGACGGCAGCAATATCGTGAGCTTCCTGGACACCGTTGGAAGCAAGCATTGGCATGCCAGAAACACGGCAAGCGTAGACATCGGTGTGATCGTTGTAGATGGAAAGGGCAGAAACACCGACGCAACGAGAAGCGATGTGGATAACAGCTGGGCAGTTCTCACCTGTGATCTTGAACATTTCTGGGATCATAAGAAGAGCACCTTGTGAAGCTGTGAATGTTGTGCAAAGAGCACCGATAACTGTGGCACCGTGAACAGCAGCAGCAACACCACCTTCGGACTGAAGCATTGAAAGGTTGACTTGGTTGCCCCAAATGTTCTTACGGCCTTGAGCGATCCATGCATCAACTAATTCACCCATTGTTGTAGCTGGTGTGATTGGGTAGATGAAGGATGTCTCAGTAAGTTGATAAGCAACTGAGCAGGCGGCTGTATTGCCATCTCCTGCAACTCTCTTACCGAAATTGCGAAGCATTCTTGAAAAATGTGATGTGACATGGCCCTAAAAAATTGAATGATAGTGGAGCGGTTTCCTTCAAAATTTACGTTTGTCGTTTTTGGTGAAAATTTGCCTATTCAAAAAAGGAAATCTAGAACGGTAACCCGATCATCAAGATATATGAACCGTTAATTAGACCAATAGCTCTTATTATCCAAGGTTTTCATTGAAAAATCGTTTAATATAAAATTCGAAAAACTCAAAAAATCAATATCCACTGGTTTCGGATGAGTAGCATTATTACACTCTCAAGGGCCATGATTGCTACATAGATGGTTTTCGATAAAATTGTTTTTTAAACTAAATATTTCAGATTTAAACTTTTATAATTAAATTCATGTTTTTATGTTAAATATAAATGCAAAATCATATTTCAATGTTAAATATCAAGTTATTTAGGATTTTATATCTACGATATTCAATTTTATATATTACCTCACAAATTAGTCATCGTTTCTCTCAATCTAAAAATTGAGTTCATTTATCCAGTGTAAACTTCTGAATATTTTCAATGGATTCAAATAGGATACTATTCAATATCATCCAAATTATGGCCCAACATTTTTTAATATTATGATATTTGATGCTCATAAACCTGATAAAACTTACGATCAAAAATATTTTAAAACTGACATCCATCGTTTTGATTGATTGTATCGTTTTAGGATGAATGATTTCTCTTCACTTCAACTGTTCAAATCTTTTCAGTACATGGTGGCATCAACTTTAGGATAAAAACGCTACGATTTATCACATCACTTTTATCGCTTCACATTTACCTAACAATTACTAATCACATATTTTTATATTAAATTTATTAACTTATTTAATAATTATATAACCGTTCACTTTTGGATTCTTTTGAAAAAATTTCTCCTTCATAATTAATACTTCTATAATGATTTCATTATTCCAAATCCAATGAAATTTTCCATTTTGACCATCGTCATTCAAAAAATAAAATTGGTCTTTCGTTTCTCTGCATATTCATATTCTCAGATATCAATAGAGCATATTTATTTTCACAACCTCATTTTTTCTCCGACCAATCAAGAGGTAGGGCAACGATAGGTCAAAAAGGCTTCTCTGATAGATTTCCTTGCCTTTTGGATATGCTATAATATATAGCCTAGCATGATAGGATATGATGTCAAAAGTTAGAACATAACTTAGGATCTTGAGAAAAATGAAAAACAAAAATTACATAAAAAAAGGAAAATTTTATCTAATTTGTTTTTTTGGACCGAATAAGTAATTTTATTGAATTTCAATACGACACATAGATTTTATTATTAGTAATAAATATAATGGTTTACTATTAACAAGGAACCTAAACTAATGAAAATTTGATTTCAAATATTGTATATGATTATCATAGATTACCAAAATATATTGCTATTTATGAGGATATAATATTGATTATTAGTAAATCGTATAAATTTAATAAATATACCATGAATATTGAATGAATTTCTTGATTCATAGGGGTAAAACGCGCTTTTATATGATTTAGACAGAGAATTTATGAGATGTAAATAACACAATAAAGGTTTATATTGAATATTTTCTAAAAATAAATCGAAATTATAAAAAACAATACATTTATTCATTGAAACTACTTGGACAAATATGAAACAAGCATTCAGGCAATACTTTTGAGACTTCAACGCATCTGATAATTTTTATATAACTTCACCTCTTATGCTTAGAGTGGAGGTATTGAGATCGTATAAGTATAGATGAGCTCACATTCAGATATGATGTGTGAACTTCTGTTTTCACTGCAATTTTGAATCAGAATAAACTCAAAACAAGAATAAAATGATATACTCACTCTCTAAATGTGTTCGAGATTTAAAGTTGTATGAATAAAACGATTCATCTTTCGAAGCCTCCCATTTAATGAGAGACTTCGAAAGATGAATGTATTCATGTAGATGAAATACTATATATGACCATGTGTGATACTAAAGATATCAAAATGTTCATTTTTAAGTGCAATAGAAGGGTTATCTCTCGTAAAATCTCAATTTAAGGAAGATTTAGAAAGAACTCCTTTCCTAAGTAGATAGTGTGTGGTTTCTGTCTTTTGGTTGATCAGGAACTATGAAATTAAGTCGGACAGAAAGAAGTTCTTTCCAAAACAGACTCCAAATGAGTTGTTCGAAAAGAACTTCCTTCTGTATATGGATAATTGTAGTTACCGCACTGAAGTATGTGATTGTGATGATGGAGTTCTCGATAAATCTAAAATCGGATTAAGATTAAATGAAAACTCAAATAATTCTTTGAAATCTTGTGTTGTCTGGCACTATAATAACCAAAGAATGAGAATATTATGTTGAATGATGAGTACGTGTGCTCGGCATTCGCCGAGCGAATTGAGTTTAACGTACTATGAAAAGTGACAAATTTGGGCTTTTTTTCCTAGGGTTATGATCTCTTCCTTTCTGCTCAATACGACAGAAATGAAAGAATGAATTTGTACTCCCTAATTGATTACTACAATCTGTATCTATCTTTAACATAGAATTAGCTGCATTGTGATTTATACTCCAGAATTATTCAATTTAAGATCAACCTCGTAAATTTTAATCATATTGCACCAATACTCCTACGTTGAGATAAGAACATGATTATACATACCAAAGCCCCATATTAAAAATCAAAATTTAGCACCTCCATTATGCAACCACATTATTCGTCGCAAATAAGTATATTTACGCATATTATGATGCATATTCACACAACTCGTATACATGAAAGTTATTAAAATCAGACAAAATTATTGCAATAAGGAAAAAAAAACAACTTTATTATATATGTTAGTAATGAATTACAAATATTTCTACAAAGAATGCTCAATACTTCATATAATCTTCGAATATTTCTTATTACAAGTTAATACATTTTGACTCGAACATGATAAACAAAAGCCGACACGCTGATTACTACATTTATGAAAATATAGTACGTTTCCATTCATTTGTTTACTTGTTTTTGTTGGAATAAAATCATTTTTTTTTTCTTTCATGAAATAAGAATTTTGCTGCGAAAGCAATATCTCTAACAATAATTAATACATTACGTCAACTCTGGAATGAGTATTTATCAAATATGATATCAAAATCAAAAATTAGTTGTTTTTTATGAGTAAAAACGATGTAAATTGATTATTTGACTAATTATCAAATACTTTGATTTTCCAAATTTTTTTCGAAATTGATTTTTTCATGTGAAAATTTAAATTGTTTAATTGCATTTTTGAAATTTTGAATTTTTTTTGGAATTTTGAGTTGATCAATTCAGCAGAATTGATAATGCTATTGCTTTAGGGCATACCACAAGGTGATGAATAAAAGGTGAACATTAACAAATTATTTTAAATCACAAATATCATCCTCATCAACTTTAATTCTAAAAAGAACTGTACTGAATTATGAAAATGCATGATTTACATTATTAAAATCTTTGAATGAAAATAGTACAAGATAAGTTTTTATTCATTTTTAATTAGATTTAAACGAAAAACTACTCCATATTAAAATTTAAGTCGAGAAATCGTATTTTGTTCTTATTTGTTAGCATTTTGTAGACATTCTAATCTTGAATTAATTTGTTACATGATATTATTAACAAATTTAACTGAAAAAATATGTTAATATGGAATAAACCATGATTATATAAGCTATCAATGCTATATATACATATGTAAAAGATTCATATTAACTCAATTAACAAAAATGATAGATTTTCATAAAGGTTCAATCTAGGTTCGTCCGAAAATTTTGATTTTTATATAGAAGACATAGTTTCATATACATAATTAAATTTTCAAACAAATTTGATCATACCATTTATTAAGCAGGATAGTATATTAATTACTATCAGTATAAAAATATAAAAATGATTATATTTAATTATTGCATAATTTAGTCAAAGAGTTATAAGCCTCAAGTGATCGTTATCACCTTCAATGCACGTATACTTTATTGATTCATAGATATTTAATCTATGTTTGACATGTTGTTGTCGTCATTCGTTTTGTTCCCATTCTTCCTAAGTTAGAATTAGAGAATACACCATCCACATCATCTAATTTGGTCCTCAGCGATAGATTGGTTCATTTTGGAGGAGTCCCATCAGACAGTTTTCGAGCACCAAATATCAAATTTTAATGTATACAAATCTTTAGTGATTTATCTCTTTTATGATGAGTAAAAGGTTTCTGCTCATCAACATTTGATTTCCAACATATATGATTTCTAATTGCAATTATTTACTTTCTTTTTATAATCTAACTCTGTGACTCATACCATAAATTAATTATTGGAAAGTGTCAATATGTTTGGCACAACGCATGGCGGAAGATACCAAACCATGCAGGGAATATGATACGTTTAAGATCTCCGAACTTTTTTTCCACACCAATCATGACTCATTGTTTTTTTTGTGGCAACATTTTAAGATTTTATAAAATGGATACCACATTGCTCTCTCACTGATCTACCACACCGAAATTCCAAACATTTGGGACAATTGATCTTGTTTTTCATAATTTTATTTTATTCTTCTGGCTTTTTCCCTAACGGTTATCATAAAACGTGCATTCCAGATTAATAGCAAATACAAATATCTTTAAAATTCTTGTATTTTCCTTAATTTCCTCATTTCAATTATCAAATCTTCTTCAATTTCCTTTTATTGTATTTCGCCGTAATTACTTATCGAGAACTTTATACACGCTATCTATTAAAACTGGAATTTATTAATTGTTTCTATTTGGCTGGTTGTTTATTTCCTTAACTTCCTGACAACCAATTACTTTGATTAGATTTAAAGGACTTTCTTTCATTTGTCACAACTTTTATGCTGATGAATATCATTTTAATATATTTTACTTACACAATACTTGGAATATGAGATTGCTCTTTCTATTACTGAGATAATTTGTTTTAATCCAACTGACAGAGCATAATTATTTGTACTATTCATGCATTACTATAAATTTTGATGTAAATAAATGATTGATTACATTAACCCATATAGAATATTCTTACATACCAAACTATAAACCATTTCTGAAGTATTCAAGAATCTTATGAAATATCTTTAACAATTCTATTTCGATGAGCATCAGCTATTCTTAGAATGCAATTCACTTTAGCTTCACAATAATTTTTAGGAAGCTTCTATCCATTATTTAATAATATACATTATGGATTGCATTTTTCACAATTCTTATAAAATTATTTCATACAAAATAACGTATTTCCATAAATATTATAAACGGTATTAGATATAATATCATTTTCATTTACTAGTTCCAATCAATATTACATGCGATCAAATTTGATCATTAATTAGATAAAAATGTGAGATTAACTCTCTAACTCATTCGATTCATTTATTTTGGACATTTTCTCCTATTGTTTCGTTTATTCATTCAGTTTATGACCAGTTTAGCCCTTTTTCCTAGTTTAACATTTTTTCATATTCAAACACTGAATTGAGTCCAGAAGAGTACAAACATATGCTATCAAAGTTTAATTATAGTAAAATTTATTAATCATCCAGGTATTCAATTCAGGAAGCCCATAGGAGAATCATCAATCCAATCCAACAAAAGTTCTCAATTATTTTTTTATGAAAATGTTTATTATTTTTTTCAGTTTTAACAGTCCATATATGAACTGATGTTCAATCTATTTGTATGGAGAATCATGCATTTATTAATTAAGAATTTAGAGTGAACAAATAGGTTATTTTCATACATTCTCATTATCCATTTCTCTTTGCATTTCAAGCTTAAAATCCCTCCGTAAAAAATTCATTCAAAAGTTTGAGTTTCGCTACCCAAGTCTATTTTGAATATTGTTTCTTTGTACAGTGAATAATAACATTGCACCAAGAGTTCTACAATAGTATTTCAGATTATTTCGTTTCCTAACACTTTGTTAGTGAATTTTGAAACTCTTTTATTCACATATGTGTAAATTCCCAATTAATAAACAAAGATGGAGGCAAAAAATCTTATAAACCTTCATCAAAAGATATTCAAATGAAATAAACCTCTTGGCAGAAACTCTTACCGTGCTCACAAAGAATATTTCTCACACAATTGTTCAATTTTTTTTAATTTTTGCTATCATTATTTTAGGCAATTCCGCTGTATTTTTTACTTTAAAATTTCACTTTATCAATTTCACCATAATTATTATTTGTTGCAAACCAGTCTTGAACAGAAGATATAACAAGATTGGCTGATTTATTTTGAATTAATTATATTTTGTGAAAAAAAACCTTTTACACCACTCTGATTGAAAAATTTAGTGGCTAAATGTATTTTCTATCATTTCTAAAACAAAGTGTTCAGCTTATTTAGAATGATTTTGGATAAAAGTGCCACGGACTCAAATTTCAATTTATAACAATTCAACGGTTAAGAGTGCACCCGTATGTACGTTTATTTGAGAGGAGGAGGATTACCCTCTCAATTTTGAGGGATTCGTTAGTTTATTTTCTCGATGAATATGCAATAAAATTTGATTTTTACCTTATCAATATACTTCATATAATATACACATGTTCATGTAAAAACTTTTTTCCAAAATCCTCAGGAATTAAGGGATTTTTGAATTTTAAGAATTTTTTTCGAATTTTTTCGAAAAAAAAATTTTCAGAACAGCCTTAACGGCTAAGATTTAGGAACAATGTTAAGTATCAAAAAGAAAGGAGGTCTGATATAGACAACATATATCGTTGAAGGTTGAAAAAATCTCTAATATTTGAGCCCAAAATTTCAAATTTTAATTTTTTGAAAAAAGAGGCCACCCGTATGTACGTTTATTTGAGAGGAGGAGGATTATATTTTTGAAAGGGTGAAACATTATGAATATGTTAATTATATAATAATATGTATTATTATAAAAAAGAAAAAATAAAGCACGTTAAAATTTTTCTTTCTTGATTTTTTACAAAATCTACTTAGAATTATGCAAAATATGACTAAATAATTATAAATTTCAAGTTAAATTTTAATTTTGATAAATAATTTAAATTTCAAAATATCAAGTTCAGTTCGACTATGTATGTAGTAATTCCTCAATAAAGTGCTAAAACCCTATTAAAATATATGAACATTTTCAACATTTTAATGTTTTTATTTAAAAATTTGATGGAATATGAGCTTCAAACAATTATTATGTAAATAAAAATAATTAAATATATGTATTTATTCGTATTACAACCGTAGTAAGTCGATTCTTCCTTTCTTCTATTGAGTTTTGAATTTGATTTCGAATTGTAAAAAGATTCAAAGGGAAAATACTAGCGGATAAAAACTACCTCCATGAAAGGGTCATAATGGAGTCAAGTTGTATTTTTTGATATTTTTTGCTTTTCAAGCCTAAATAGGTAGCCAAGATAATGCCTAAAAATAAGGTTCTAAATTCTGAAGTTTACATGATCCTCTCGTGTGCACCCTTAATTGTTAATCACCTTTTTTGAATTCAATTTTTTTTAATTTTTGACATTTCAAAAAAAGGGTTTACGGCCAAACCATGGAAACAGAAAAGATGGAACCAATAAGAACAATTGGTAAATATTCATTGATGAAAGTTATAGGTACAGGAGGATTTGCTGAAGTTTATTTAGCTATAAATACGAAAACAAAAGAAAAAGTTGCAATCAAGATCATAAAAAGAAAAATAACAGAAGATAGCTTTTTGATCCAGTATATAGAAAACGAATTGAGGATGATAACACGATTTGATCATCCAAATATCGTTAAAGTCCAAGATATAATTTACACCCCAGAAGAAATACTAATAATCATGGAATACTTGCCAAATGGAGATTTGCAGTCATTTGTTGACACCAAAACAAGAACTGGACAGACGGATCAGATCAGAATTGCAACAGAAATTTTAGAAGGCATAAATTATTTGCACAAACGTGGAATAGCCCATAGAGATATCAAGCCGGCTAACATTATGTTTGACGAGAAAATGCATCCAAAAATAATTGATTTTGGATTTTGTAGAGAGAAATCAGCTCTACTAAATACATGCTGTGGAACACAGCCGTTGATGGCTCCTGAAATTGTTATGGGAAAAACATATGACGGATTAAAAGCAGATATTTGGTCATACGGAGTAACCATACACATCATGGCTATGTTAGCCCTTCCATTTGAATTCCAAGGCTATTCACAGTTCATTCATGATGTGAAGAATAATTCCATCAAAATGTGTATCAAAGCAACAGGAGTTATTGGATGGCTTGTGAAGAATAGTTTAGCATATAATGCTGAAGAGAGAGCATCTTGTGATGATTTGCTGAACTACATCAAAACAAAAACAGTGGCTGTTGCTCCTCAGCTTACAGTTCCTATAGTGAAGAGGGCAAACACGTACACAGTCCTACAGCCAACGTCAAGGATTATCTCCAAATCCCCAGTTGTTATCAGATCCAGAAAGATTGCAAATCCTTTATTGGTTAAACCACAAACTCCTGCACCAAGACCAGATCAAAAGATTGCGTACTAATCTTATCGTTAATTTATTTGTTTAAACTATATCATGATTTATTTTCTTGTTTGTTCATACAAGCAATTGTATTGTAAATTATAGAACAGAACATCTTAACATTAAACATTTTTACAAAACATTAGATAATTTTCCCTCTAAATTTGAGATTTTTTGATTTTGATAGTTAAATTAATTGTCCTTCCGAAAGATAATATTATCAAACCAACAATTTCATGAATCTAAAGGCCATTTGTTACAATTTAAAAGATTTCGGAGGTTATATTAAAATACTATTTCATGTTTATTGTTTTCCGAAGTACTTTGTAAGGTGTTCTTCATAACTCTTGATCCATTCATCGTACTGTGGGTTCTTGATGACATCATTGCACTGGAATGATGGGATTTGTGTCATTCCACAGAATTCATGTGATCTAATGATTGGTCCATGAACACTGTCAGCGCCTAATCAATGGAAGAATTGATCTGGTTCTGTTAATGATTCAACTGGAGCATTCCAAGTGAATGAAAGCATGAACTTCTTTCCTTGAGCGAGGCCTCCACTACCATACTTCTTGGATGGGTCCTTTCTTGTACGTCCATCGCTGGCCCAAATCTTGCCAAGAGCGTAGAAGAAGACTTCATCAAGGTATTTCTTGACGTGCCATGGTGTTCCGAACCACCATATTGGGAATTGCCAAAGAAGGACATCAGCCCAAAGGATTTTTTGGACTTCTTCCTCTCCTTTGTAGTCAGCATCAGCCTTTGTTACTTGAACTTCATGTCCTTTCTCTGTAAGAGACTTTTTAGCATACTCAACAAGTGATTCATTGAGTTTGCCTTTAGAGGCAACAAATTCCTTAGAACCATCGATGATAAGGATCTTCATCTCAGGAAAAATGAAGTGGTTAAATGTCAAACAATTTTTGTGAAGAAAATCCGATAGAAATTGAAGCTATACACACAAAAAATTGAATTAGAATGATTGCAATGTAAATAAATCAATCGTCTCATATTGCTCAGCTGTGAATACAATTAATTTTTCATGATGACATTTTGACTTTTATCGAATACGATACCTTATCATCAAGCGCCATTCATTATGCAAAAACAATTACACTGATATTTTATTGATGCGTTTAGTCAATTCATTCTATTTTTGTTGTTTTTTTTTAGCTCATTTAGCTAGAATCGTCTATTAAAAAATAATATTGGGAAATTATAGAATAAAGAAATACGCTGCCGTATCATGATGAGTTCTCTATTGGCGATAAGTATATAGTTATAGATTTAATAATTTTTCATTTCTGATTTGATTGAATTTAGGCAATTTATTCCTTACGTTGACTATAAGTTCATAAAACAACCTAACAAAGGTCCTAAATATACAATTTTTTATTATTGATTCAAAAGCATTTGATTTTTTTTCTAAAAATACATAATAAAAGCGATAAATTTAAAAGAGAGACAAAACAGTTTATTCAGTTCTTTATAATTTTTCTATATCTCGGTATATCCTTCCATATCAGATTTCGATTTCCGAATTACTTCATACAAAGGCTTAATTAACAAGATACTACCAAGGATAAATCCAAGGGAGTATGATATAGGATACACGTACATTAGTCTTACAACATTATGCTTGTTTGTTACGTATAAAATCGAAACAAAAGTTATATGAGAAACAAAATTAGAAATGACAGAAATAATCATTGCACGAATACCTTTCTGTTGGGATTGCAGCATATTCTGGATAGTCAACCTTGTGAATAATATGAATGTTACTATATTACCATTCTTCAGCATATGGGATGAGTAATAAATGTATTTTTCTCCTTTTCCAAACAATTTTGAAATTTCTTTCGGAAAAACAAAACAAAGAGTGGTTGTAATGACACACCAAACCAAGGAAAGCCAGTTCAAATGAAAGGTAAGATGAAGATATCTCTTGCACATGTCAGCGGAATAAGCATAACTTGCTGCAGGTAAATATCCTGCACATAATGCTAAAACAACCATATTAATGAAAGCTTGGTATCTGCAAAGTGTGTTAAAACCAGCCATTGCGTATTCGTATTCATCTGAATTAGCTACACTTTTGCCGATCAGCTTTCTGACCAAAATTCCTGGTAAATTCATGCAAATTTGGAGAATTAACTGGGAACTACCAACAAGAAGTCCTTGGTATGTTGCGTGTGAGAATGGTTTGAACAAACCTTTCAATGATGGCTTGATATCGAAGACTCCGCAGAAGTAAAGGATAATTAATATAATTCCGGGAATGCCATCACAGATAACAACGACAATTGAAGGACCAATAATACCTGTTTTGAATACAGCAAGGAATAATGGATTGAGAGCACCCATACCTATGCCTAATGAGACTAAATAAATGATTCCGATAAGTAATGTACGACCTTCAGCTTGAAGGAAGCCACAACAAGCAAGGAATAAGCATGTAAAGACACTACCAACACATTGTGGTAGTAAGTATCTGAAAGCGGCGTTTGTAACTATATCACTTGCTCCGAACCATTTCGAACATGGCTTATTTATGGGTAAAAGTAAAGCTGGAACGACCATTCCGCATATTAAAGCTACTCTAAGTAAATCGCAAACAACCTGTTCGGCTTCTTTGAACTCGCATTTGCCAAATAATTTGCATATTTGTGTACTAGCCGCGCACATTAAAAATAAGCCAAATCCACGGGCCATTTGTTCCCAAAGAACATCAATTCCGACAGCTGATGTACCAATATCGCCAACGTATTTTGAAATCCAAATTGAATTTAAGATTCCGAAAAACGCATTCGTAATTTGAGAGCCAAGGGGACCTACCATTAACATAAGGATTGTCTTTAGAGGTGAATGCCCTGCTAATCTCTTGACTTCTTGGTGGTCTGTATTAACTTTCAAACTCAATTTAAGGGAGTCTTCCGACCAGAAAGCTCTCTCAATTTTTTGTGATGTTTACACCAAAAGTGAGATTCGTTAAGCGTTTTTCTCGTTGAATATTGAGTTTCCCGGATTTTGAGTTATTCATAAAGCTCCTCTATATTATACCCTATCTACTGATATGATTATTTTTGAAAAATCTCTTAAATCGACCTGCACTGAATTTTTTAGGGAAAATTCGAAATTTTCTAGGCGTTTTCTGTAACGTTTTTTTACGGAATAAAATCCGAAAAATAATTTTTTGAAGAATCATTAGGTCAGGTAAGTGGGGCTTCCAGGCGCGTTGCGCCCTCTAGCCCATAAGAAATTTTGCCCAAGACCCAAGAGGAGGACCGAACCCCAGCCGACCAGCCGGTGACAAAACCAAAACCGTTGTTATTTACATCATATTAATGGTGTCACTTTTTTAAATATCACTTTTTATGTCGCTTTTCACAATTATATATGTTTTCATGTTTTGTCACTTTTCTGTCACTTTTCGGGTAAAAACATTTTTATTATTATATATAAATGAATTTTACAAAACCACCGTTACCGTTCTTTGGAAATAAGAGTAGATGTAAAGATATTATATTGAGAGAACTTAAGAAACTACCGAATGGTCTAACATTTGTAGATTTGTTCGGTGGAAGTTTCTATATATCCCATTTATGTCATACAATATTCCCTGACTCAAAGATTATATGCAATGACTTCGACAACTATATGGACCGTCTCAAACATATTCCAGACACAAATAATATATTGAAAGAGTTAAAAGAAAAAATACCTATAGGTAAGATGGAACGTATACCATTAGATAAGAAAAATATTGTGAGAGAGGTTTTGAAAAAAGCAGAATATATAGACTGGGATAGTATATCTGCTAGACTATTATATAGTGGTGCTATAAGAGTTCATGACATTGAAACACTTATGTCAAAAGTTTTATATCTTAACTATACAAATGTTTTCAAAGAGGACATAGAAAAATATATTGAGGGTATAGAGTTTGTGAGATGTCATTGGACAGAGTTGTATGAAAAATATAAAGACAAGGAAAATGTTTTCTTTATAGTGGACCCGCTGTTCTATAACACATGGGATTTTCAATACCAAGTAGACTGGACTTTGAGAGACTCTTTAGAAACTTTAGACGTTATACATAACCATCCATGCTTTTACTTTACATCCGATAAAAGTGGTTTGGAAACCGTTATGAGATGGTTAGAGGACATACATGACTATGAGTTTATATATGACAAGATAGAATATGAGAGAGGTCCTATAAACTGGAGAAAGTGTCACAATAAAGAAATTTTATTAGTAAGTAAATGTGGTTTGAAATAGGACTACTTGTTTTAGGTTTTTTCCATTGTGTCATTTATTTATTTGACGTGGCAGAAAAGTACAGAGAATATGAAGATGAACCAATGCCTGCAAATGTTCAGCATATGTACTCGTAAGAGATATTTTTATCTAATATTAAATGGACGCACAGAACTTAGCGAATGCACAGCAACCTGGACAACCAAACCCAGAGAATATTCCAAATGAAGTTAGAATACAAACTGCAATGGCAAACTATGGTCAAGTGCCAACAGATGTACAAATGCAAACTGCCATGTCAAATGACGCTGCGTTAGGTTTGCCACCATGGTATGCAAATATGAGATGGAAAGAGTTTTATACAAACCCCGAAGTGGGATATAAACAACTTTATGCAGATGACGCGAACACAGGAGTTGACCCAGAATATGTTTTCTACCAGAGGAGAAACAGAATGTATGAGCTCCAGTTAAAGAATGCTATGGAACTCAACAGGAAACGTAAGAGACTAGGCGGACATTAGATTTTTACATATAGTAAAATGAGTTTCTTCAGTAAGATAGGAAACTTCTTTCGAAATGTTGGAAGAGGTATATGGAATGGAATAAAATCTGTCGGAAGAGGAGTATGGAACGGTGTCAAAAATATTGGTAAAAGAGTAGGTCAGTTCGTTGGTATTATACCTAAAGACCCTAAACCAGAAGAGCAAGCTCCTGTTATACAACAGCCTGAACCTGTACCACAGTCTAGTTGGCAACCAAATCCAACACCTCAACCGTATTAAAAAATTATATTTTTATCGTTCGATAGTAGTTGTATATGAAACTAAGTTCTAAGTAAAACGCATGGTATAATGGAATTATTCTTTTTCTTCCATCTGTAGTAAACCATACTTGAAAGTCTGAAATACTTCCACTCGGCGGTTCATATAACTTTGTAGGTTTTTCGTAAAAGTCATTCATCAGACATAAGAAAGAGTTTTGCGCACCAGAAAATGAAGCATGAACAATAATAGCATCTGGGTCGAAAATATTTTCATATGTTCCATTAGGTTTTTCGACTTCATAATAGTCCGGGTGTACTGGATATGCTGCAGGCTGATTTAACATCCTCATAAATCTATACCATGCCAAGTTGTTATATTTTGTAGAAATATAAACGTTTTCTCCAAGGTCTTCTATTTTATTGATTTTAACAGTTGCATTTTTCCTGTCATAAATAATATCGAGATGGTATTCTCCTTCGTCAATGTTAAACTGGTTTGCATATTCAATATAGATATCGTTTATTTTTTCTTGAAAAGCTTGAAGAGTTGTTTCTAAGTTTATAAGCAAATTAACTTGTAAAAGTTTTCCTTGTTCAAATTTCTCATACATACGTTTTTCTTTGTTATAGTATCGAACTTCAAAACCGACCGTAAATGGGAAACCATGTATGGCTTCTGAAATGAACTTCATTCTACGAAAGCCAATAGCTTTTGTGACGGATGGGTCTCTTAACCATCTTAATGGGTAGTCAAAACGATAGCCTTCATGCTTTACGGTATCTGTCTCAAACTTTTGACCGACATTAGTAAAAAGTTCATCTAATGGTTTAGTTGTAGCAACTCTAGAATTTTCTTTTTCTATTGGAAGCATATTTTATCTATAATAAAAATGTCAAATGAAACAGCGTCTATGAGAGAAATACAACACAACCGACAACTCATTATGCAAGCTCTAAATAAGAACACAACAAACTTTTCAAACTATTCTAAGATATCTGAGTCATTGAAAGGGGGTGACTTAAAACTGACAATAAACCCAATGACAGATGAGTTTCTATTTCAAGACAATAAGAACAATACTGTCTGTATAAATCCAACAAAAGGAACTTTAAACGAGAAACCTATAAATGAACTTCTTTTGAAAGCAGATGTTGACAACAAAGCTGACAAAGAATATGTAGACGATGCAATAGCAAAAGAAGAAGAAAGAGCTAACAATGCTTATGCAACAAAAGAACATACTCATCCTGAACTAGCAGACAAAACATATGTTGACAATAAAATGTCAAGTGAAGTGACAAGAGCTGAAAACGAATATTCTAAAAAGACTCATATACATTATATTAACCAAATACCAAGTCTTAAGGAAACATTAGAGACAAAAGCAGATAAGACTCATACACATTCTATATCTGATATTACAAACTTACAAGAAACCTTAAACAGGAAAAGTGACGTTGGACATACACATTCTATATCTGATATTACAAACTTACAAGAAACCTTAAACAGGAAAAGTGACGTTGGACATACACATTCTATATCTGATATTACAAACTTACAAGAAACCTTAAACAGGAAAAGTGACGTTGGACATACACATTCTATATCTGATATTACAAACTTAAACGTTAGCCTTGAAAATAAAGCAGATAAAACATATGTCAATGAAATATACCAAAGTTTGATAGGAACAAAAAATATTGAAACTATTGTTGGTGACTTTTCTGTCAATAAAGAAAATAAATATTTTAGATGGCAGTTGGTACAGTCCTTAGAAAATGGTACACGGTATAAACTCATTCCGAAAAATAACAATGAAATGTATGTAAGCTATAAAAAGAATGATGGTACACAAGTTAAAGTTCCATTAGACAACAACTGCTACTTAAACTTATATGGAGACGAACAAAAGAAATATTTAAGAGTTTATGAAATGGCAGATATGACATTGCCTGACCCAGCTCCAGCACCATATTATTATGACTATGGAGATGACGACAGAACACCACATGTAGATGAACAAAAGCTAACATTATATTTAGATTATTATAGATATAAAAGATATAATGCAATAGAAAAAACGAGAATAGTATATTATTATACAGATGACAGAAATAAATATTATAGTCAAGATTTTACCTACCCTGAAAACATAAGATTATATTATAAAAAATATTCTGACACAAACCAGAAGAAACCTGAAATAGTTGCACTATATTTTAAGTTCAAAAGAGACAATCCTATAATATCTCATATGTTTGATTTAATGAACCCAGTAGGTTCTATTTATACATCTATGGATGCAAGAGGTCCTCAAGTAATGTTTGGTGTTGGTGCATGGGAACAAATAGTCGACAGGTTTTTGTATTATGCAAACTCTTCAAAGGAAACAGGTGGAAGTAAAACGATTTCAGGTGAAAATTTACCTGCACACAGTCATTACATAGATTTAAGTACATCTCAAGCAGGTTGGCATAAGCATAGATATTGGGATTGGTCAGGAATGACAAAAGGTAAAGGATATGATGTTAAAGACGACGTTAAGTTTGCTATAAATTGTTACTGGGATGACACGCAGGGAGAAGGAAACCATACACATTTCATTTCAGGATATACACAAACAACGGGACAAAGTAAAGAATACATGCCACCTTACATGACAGTTTACGCATGGTATAGAATTGCTTAGTCGTCATTTTCAACTTCTTTAGCATATTCGTCAGGAGTTGTCTTATATTTGTTAGGAACTGTCTTTGAAAGTATACCACCTTGAACTTTGACAAGTTTGAAACGAGGTCTGACAATAGTAGTTTTATCTTCTGCTTGCAGTGTGTACATTTTGCCATGTTTGCCTAAAACTTCATATAATTTCTTGTATACTTTCTTCTATTTTTACGAACACGAATGTGAGTACCTGTCGAGTTCCCATTGTTGTCATAGTCAATAGTATTTTCATATGGGTCGCGTTTAGGTATTTCTTTTTTTTACTTTGTCACCTTTCTGAAGTTTAAGCCCGGCATTCTTTCTTGTTTGTCTCTTTTGACTAAATTATTAAATATATAGTCTTTCTCTAAGTCAGGGTTGTTTTTTATTTCTTCGGGGGAGTGGTTTCCCAAACCTTTTTGTTTACGGTTATTGTAAATATTTAAAACTTGTCTCATCTTTGCCTGGGAGAAGTGTCTATATTTGTCGTCATATGACATTTCATTTGCTTCACCACCTTGTGGTTGGTTTAAGTCTCTTAACATTTTTATACATCCGTCAATGACACCAAGAGCAGAATGGTTTTGGTCGACAATGAAATATTGGTTTACATTTTTTGAACGCAGATAGTTTTTTACATCATCTGATTTGAAAGAACTTTCACAGTCAGATGTCAGTTTTGTTGGATGGTATTTGTCAACGAATATTGTCAAAGCTGCTAAGATATCTAAAATAGCTTTGGACTGTAATGGTATGGCTTCACAGTATCTTGTGTTTTGACCAACAAATATTAACCAGTATGGTGGTCCATCTTCTCTATACCTCGGAATGTTTTCCAAGATATCCATAAACCAAGCATTTGGTGTTGAACTAAAGATTTTTATCATGTGTGCTTTCTTTGTCGCTTTAGAAACATAGGGGTCCTTGTTCGGATTCGTCATTTTTTACCCTATAAGAAATGGGTTTATTTGGCACATTAGCAGGAGTCGCATCTAGATTTTTACCCGCAGTGGGAACAATAGCCAGAGGTGTATTTGGAGTTGGAAGGAAGATTTTGAGTACATTAGGTATACTTAAAGAGAAAGCACAACCTATTATACAAACTGTACAGAAAGGTTGGGATGTATCACGAGATGCAACAAATCTTATTCCAAATCCTGAAACAAGAGGAAAAGTTCAAGGATGGATGGACAATGTAGGAAGACAAGCAGGAAACTATTATAACAAAGCAAATGACTACTATAACCAAGCAGGACACTATATGGACCAAGGTGAAAGATTCTTTAACAGAGGATATAACATGCACAACAGTGGGTAAACAATAACCAACCTCAACCGCCTCAAACGTGGGGAATGTAAAGTTTTTTATTGAGATGAAATGAACAATGCAGCATTGAGACAAATGAGTTCAAGATGGATTTGTCGGCTTCCAGCATTTAAACCGATACCATATAGTCAGGCTCAGCATGTGAAACTGAATGATATTATTAAAGGAACCATCCCACCTCCACAACAACAACCAGTTGAAAACAAACCAAACTAAAATTTTTTACTGAGATGAAATGACCGAAGAAGTTGAAAACGGTAAGATTTGACACCACAAACAAAAAGTTCAGACCATTGTCAAAACCTGTCAAAGAACTTACAGATGAAGAGAAAAAATTCAATAATAGAAAGTGCCAGGTCTGGAAAATACAAACCCTAACTATTAAAGTCACTTTTCATAGAAATGGAACGGCTAGTATCTCAAAAAGAAACAGACTCTCACAAATAAAATATTGAAGTCTGAAGGAGCTTTCGAGACAACAGATGGAAAAGTTTACTTCACTGACCAACAGTTCATTATAGAACATCTCATTGACTTAGAGTCGAAATATTCTAAACTTTACAACAAACAAAAAGTTGAAAGGAAAACAAAAACAAATGGCATATGATATTTATGAAGATTTTGACGACACAACTGTTCCTGCAAGTGAAGTAAAGTCAGAGGACCGAAAAGTGACGAAAAACCGATAGAAGAAGAAAAACCAAAAATGAAACTAAACCAAAACCAAAGTTTAGTTTCCAAACTAAACCAAGTCAACTTCATTAGCTGGTATTTATATACGAAAAAAAGAGATCTGACATTGTGTCAGATCTTCAGTAAAAGTGACATTTACAATGTCAAAAAATAGAATGAAGTTTAAGTAATTAAAATTGAGGGTGAGAGTAGTATTGTATGAAATAATATCTCTCACCCTCCAATTCATCCTATGGCGCCGAAAAAATTTTGGTGAAATGCGACCACATTTCACCAAAATTTCTCGGCGCCATATAGAGAACTAGAGCCTGTGAGGTACTGATACTATCCATGTACCTCGCAGGGCTCTAGTTCCAAGCCAAAATGGCTAAAAAATTCCCGCAATTGTTCACATTGCGGGCAATTTTTTAGCCATTTTGGCTGGGAATTGGAGGGTGAGAGTAGTATTGTATGAAATAATATCTCTCACCCTCCAATTCATCCTATGGCGCCGAAAAAATTTTGGTGAAATGCGACCACATTTCACCAAAATTTCTCGGCGCCATATAGAGAACTAGAGCCTGTAGGTACTGATACTATCCATGTACCTCGCAGGCTCTAGTTCCAAGCCAAAATGGCTAAAAATTGCCCGCAATTGTTCACATTGCGGGCAATTTTTAGCCATTTTGGCTGGGAATTGGAGGGTGAGAGTAGTATTGTATGAAAATAATATCTCTCACCCTCCAATTCATCCTATGGCGCCGAAAAAATTTTGGGTGTTCGGTGAAATGCGACCACATTCACCAAAATTTCTCGGCGCCATATAGAGAACTAGAGCCTGTGAGGTACTGATACTATCCATGTACCTCGCAGGCTCTAGTTCCAAGCCAAAATGGCTAAAAATTGCCCGCAATTGTTCACATTGCGGGCAATTTTTAGCCATTTTGGCTGGGAATTGGAGGGTGAGAGTAGTATTGTATGAAATAATATATCTCTCACCCTCCAATTCATCCTATGGCCCGAAAAAATTTTGGTGAAATGCGACCACATTTCACCAAAATTTCTCGGCGCCATATAGAGACTAGAGCCTGTGGTACTGATACTATCCATGTACCTCGCAGGCTCTAGTTCCAAGCCAAAATGGCTAAAAATTGCCCGCAATTGTTCACATTGCGGGCATTTTTAGCCATTTTGGCTGGGAATTGGAGGGTGAGAGTAGTATTGTATGAAATAATATCTCTCACCCTCCAATTTCCTATGGCGCCGAAAAATTTTGGTGAAATGCGACCACATTTCACCAAAATTTCTCGGCGCCATATAGAGAACTAGAGCCTGTGAGTACTGATACTATCCATGTACCTCGCAGGCTCTAGTTCCAAGCCAAAATGGCTAAAAATTGCCCGCAATTGTTCACATTGCGGGCAATTTTAGCCATTTTGGCTGGGGAATTGGAGGGTGAGAGTAGTATTGTATGAAATAATATCTCTCACCCTCCAATTCATCCTATGGCGCCGAAAAAATTTTGGTGAAATGCGACCACATTTCACCAAAATTTCTCGGCGCCATATAGGAACTAGGCCTGTGAGGTACTGATACTATCCATGTACCTCGCAGGCTCTAGTTCCAAGCCAAATGGGCTAAAAATTGCCCGCAATTGTTCACATTGCGGGCAATTTTTAGCCATTTTGGCTGGGAATTGGAGGTGAGAGTAGTATTGTATGAAATAATATCTCTCACCCTCCAATTCATCCTATGGCGCCGAAAAAAATTTGGTGAAATGCGACCACATTTCACCAAAATTTCTCGGCGCCATATAGAGAACTAGAGCCTGTGAGGTACTGATACTATCCATGTACCTCGCAGGCTCTAGTTCCAAGCCAAAATGGCTAAAAATTGCCCGCAATTGTTCACATTCCCATCTTTGTTGGTAAACGAAGAATATGAAATAAATTATGAAGAAGATAATGATGAATAAAATATCACTTTTTATATTTTTGACACGTAAAGTTGTCACTTTTCTGTCAAACCGTTTTCATCGTTTTCGTATATAACAAAAATGCCCCCATATAGAATGGATAGAAAGTCTGCTAGAATAAAAGCAGAGTTACAAAGATATTGGTTGGAGAGTTTCGAAGAATTTTAAATATAGGAAGGGAAGACCCATAAAAGTCTATGACAAATTGTCTGGTCTTCGCTACGAAATGGATTTGGAAACAGCACGTTGCCAATTATCCAAACGGACTAGAGAGGTTAGAAGAAGAACGTCTTATGACATGCCTTTCGATGTTAGTGAACCTCAAGTTGAAGGACACGACGCTTTGCCAGATTCTACTGGAAACATGACGAACAATTGCATCCTTTGAGAAGGAAAAAGGAAAGGTGAAGACGCACATGCTCCCATGGAAAGAACAAGATTGCATAGAAAAGTTATCGTGAAGTTAGAAGTCAAATTACATCTGGTCGAACCTTTACAGTAAACTTTGACGAAGGAAAGAACAAAGAAGGCTTCATGGGGTTGTATTGCTGCAATTCAAGACGGAAATAAGAAAGCGACACAATCTCAGATTGACCATAACAGATTTGGATGGTCACATTTACTATGCACATGCAATGAACAAACAGCCGCAAAACTTCTTGACGCTTTCAAGACTACAAAGAGAGAACAAATGGTTGACTCCATCAGACATTTTGAATGCAATTGAAGGAATTGCAAGCTGTCAAGTTCGAATGGTTACAACTTAAATTCT